CAAGATGTCTCGAATCTAACAAGTCTACTCACCGTCTACCAATCCTTTAGTAAGCATAGTTCATTGGATATGGTGTTCTATTCAATTTTTAATCTTAACGTGAATATTCACATTCTTTCTACCACACTCGAGTTTCGTAAAATCTTTTTTAATCATGTTAAGTCATATGAATTCAACATATTAAACATCACATAAAAACGTATTTTACACTCGATTCTTCAAAAACGATGAAGACACGTAAATATTGTTTACCACTCTATCCATCGACGAAATAAACGATGTCCTAAAAGGAAAGTTCAACTTTTCTCACCAACACGAGGTTTGTACTGCTATAATATCAAGTGACGAGGCATTTGCACGTGAAATGATGTGAATAACGTGATTCTTTTTTTCCGTAATCATGTTTATTCTTATCGAGTTCAACGTATCAAATACACAATAAATGCTAATAAAGATACATTAATATTTTATACTTTAAATTCCTTAGTAATTCTCCATATCATTTTTGCCTTGGAGAGAAAATGACAAAAGTGAATTCCAATGAGAACGGTCATCAAGAAAAAATGGTCTTAACTTTATCAGGGAAGAAAAAGTGCAAAGGAGCACTGCTTCACACAAATGCCATATTCCTCGACATGTAAAACGACAACAAATTAGTCACGACAAAAGATAACCCCTCACGCATTGTCGACAACACAACGTTGTTTTCTTGAATCAATTCTTTCGAAACTTAAAATTCCCGTTTCTCAGCCTTGAAATTGCACCTAACCTTTCTTTCTCTAATATATAACTCTATAGAAAAACCAGAGTGTTTTGAGGAGACGGTGGGATTTTTCTTGGGGCTTTTTGTGGTTTTTTATGAATTGAAAAACCCAGAAAGGATTTTAGAAATCTCGACCTGTGTTGGTGAGTTGTTGCCCCCTTTTTTTTACTCTGTTTTATGTTTTGATTAATGTTGCAGTATGTAGATAAAAATTGTTTGGTCTTATGAATTTTGTGTATTTAGTGAATTTTTTTCGAGGCATTTAATTAACATATAACGATTTTTTTGTTGTTAATTATAGAATTATTTGTACGAACCGATGTTTCAAGAAGATGGATCATCATCTGTAACCTCGTCACCACATCAAATGTTTCCGATGATGTCCCATTCACCTGGTTCTATGTCACCACATCCATGGCTTAAGGAGCTTAAACCTGAGGAGAGGGGGCTATATTTAATACATTTGCTAGTCACTTGTGCAAATCATGTGGCTACAGGCAGCCTTGATCATGCAAATATAGCCCTCGATCAAATTTCCAATCTTGCTACTCCTGGTGGTGATACGATGCAGCGACTCGCTTCGTATTTTTCCGAGGCTCTTGCTGATAGGATCCTTAGAACTTGGCCCGGTATTTACAAAGCATCTCGTTCCACCAGGATTTCGATTGTTGCAGAAGAAATTCTTGTGAGGAAAATGTTTTTTGAGTTTTTGCCGTTTATGAAGGTGGCTTTTGTGATCACTAACCAAGCTATTATTGAAGCCATGGAAGGAGAAAAAATGGTTCATGTTATTGATTTAAATGCAACGGAACCTGCACAATGGCGTGCGCTCATTCAAGATTTGAGTGCTCGGCCTGAAGGTCCGCCTCACTTGAGAATAACAGGAATCCATCAGCAAAAGGAGGTTTTGGAACAAATGGCTCATGTATTGGTCGAGGAAGCCGAAAAGCTGGATATCCCGTTTCAGTTTAATCCCATTATAAGCAAACTAGAAAATCTGGATGTGGAAAAATTGCGGGTCAAAACTGGGGAGGCTCTAGCAATTAGTTCCATTATGCAGTTGCATTCCCTCTTGGCGTGCGATAATGAACTCAAGAAAAAGTCCCCGTCCACGCCAATGAGTGATTTTGGAGTTCATTTACGAAGGGTGGTACAAATGAACCATGGTACTTTAGGGGAATTGCTTGAAAAAGATATGGTTAGTGCTTATAGTCCAAGTCAAGATTCGGCTTCTTCTTCGCCTCTATGTACAACAGCATCAGCAAATATTGATAACTTTCTTAGTACTTTATGGAGTTTGAATCCGAAGGTCATGGTGGTGACTGAACAAGATTCTGACCATAATGGGAAGAGCCTAATGGAGAGGATATCCGAGTCTTTGTACTTTTATGCTGCATTATTTGATTGTATGGAGTCGGCTTTGCCAAGAGCATCTTTGGAGAGATTGAAGATGGAGAAGATGTTGTTAGGCGAGGAAATTAAGAATATTATTGCATGTGAGGGAACCGAAAGGAAGGAAAGACATGAAAAGCTTGAAAAATGGGCTCAAAGATTTGATTTGGCTGGTTTTGCTAATGTTCCCTTAAGCTATTATACTATGTTGCAAGCAAAGAGATTGCTTCAAGGTTATAATTGTGATGGTTATAAGATCAAGGAAGAAAATGGCTGTGTGGTTATCGGCTGGCAAGATCGACCCCTTCTCTCAATATCAGCTTGGAGATTTAGGAGGTGAAATCTTTACAGATTCACCGTGTTCTTTTTTCTTCTTTTAGTTGATGCTTCCTTGTTCATCTGTTGTTAATTTGCAGGATGAAACATGATCTTGTCCTAAGTAGAATTCTATAGTACTAAGTCATAAAACTTCTATGTTCTTCTCCAACACCTGTTGGAATGTTTGTTGAAGAATCTTTTGTAATTAATTTCCAATCCAGCTTAATTAAAGAGATCATGCTTATAAAGTTCCATATGTTTTACTCGGAATCTCCCTCGAATAAGGGAAATATAGGAACTCTCTGTTTTTGGCCTAGCTAAAATCCAATTTCTATGACTCCCTTTTCCTGCTAAGGGAACTCTTCGTTTAACATGATTGGTATTGTATGATGAATCTCATGACTTCTTCATTCTGTCGAATTATTGTTTAATAAATCTTGCACTTTAGCTTTGGATCAAAAGCATTTTTGCCATGTTGCCATCTCAATTGGATTGGTGGCTTGGAGTAGGCAGATAAGGGAGAGTGATGGGGTGGTCTGTTTACAGGTCTGGCTCTGGCCTGGCCTGGCCAGGAACTGTAACTCTTGACCATGTATTTTATCAGTTTGTAACTTTAAGTTCATTCTTTCTTTCTTCTATCTTTATGAAATAACTTACAAGTTTCATCTGTCTATAGATATAATAGCTGTCATCTAATCCGAACAGCCCTTCGTGGTGAAGAATTTAGTTTGCTTATGTCTTAGACCTTTAATTTGTAACAAATCCATATTCAAACCTTTTAGATTTGTTGCACGTGAGCCTCCAATGAATGGACCAAACAGGCATTACAATGTCACTTGAACCTCTTGTGACTCTGATTTTAAAGGAAAAATAAACAAATACTTAATTTTTTAAAACCAAAATCGAATTGTTTATACATCTCCCGTGGCATCTTGTTCTTGTTGTAATTATGGATATTGAGTAATGATAAGCGTGTTTTACACGATCTAGGTTCCTAAATTTAGTTGATTAAGTGAGTGGATTTCTACTCGATTTATGTTGTATTTGCAGTTTGCAGGCTAAATCTCAAATTTGAAGGTAAATAGAGCAATATGAAGTAATTTGGAGCTTAATTTGGACAATATGATGGATTTGCATGATTGCTAAAAAGTATGAGGACTTGGTTGGGAGAAACAAAAATATTAATTGGCATATTTCATAAATTTTGGGGATTAAAACGGACACTTGGAGAAGTTTAGGAATCAAAATGGCGAAATCAAGAGTTTAGGGACTAATTTGGATAAACTGAATTAGGACTGTCCGTGGGTCGGTTCGGTTGGGTTCTGAAGAGAACCGAACAGACCTAAAACTTTCGGGTATTTAATAAATGGAACCGTCGGGTCCAAATATAATTATGGAACCGTTCGGGTTCCGTTCGGTTTCATACCATAATTAAATTTTTTAATATCAACAATATATAAATACAACTAATGACATTTCATTCATAACTTTTACAAATTAATGTAGCCCAATTCAAAAACATATAAATAACCAGCCGTCCAATAAGATTAATTCAATGCATACAAATATCAAAAAGTAGATATTAATATTACAGCAATACTACATAAAGTAAATTCATTT